AGATAGATAGATAGATAGATAGATAGATAGATAGATAGATAGATAGACAGACAGACAGACAGACAGACATGGACATGGACATAGACATAGACATAGACATAGACATAGACATAGATACATACATAGATACATACATACACACACACACACATATATATGTATGTATACAGAAAGGGAGAGAGAGAGAGAGAGAGAGAGAGAGAGAGAGAGAGACATAAAGCAATAAGTTTCCATTGCATTTCTACAAGTACCATTTTACCTCTTTTGACTCCCACTGTGGACATAGGTGTCCAAAATTACAATTTTATAAGGACTGAGGGAAAATCAAATTTCTTTTAGGAAATGCCTATGTTGAATCACCTTAAAATGTCATTCATTTCCCAATATCCCATCCCACTGTCAAAAACCATGGAGATTTTTTAAAATGTTATTTAATTTTTACTTTGTCACTAATAACCCTTGTGGGGGGGGGTTTAATATTAGGTCTGATGCTGAAAAAAAGTATGATTCCCATTACTAAAGAATGATGGATTCCCTTACCTATATTGTTATAAATAAAAGAGGTAAGGGTTTCCCATGTCCAACTCAAAGGGGCAGTGCTCATAGCTGTTTTCTAGTTGTTTGAAGGTGCTTCATTTGGTCATTTGTCAAGCATGACTATACACCAAGACACACAGTACGCTGTTAGCTTCCCACCAAAGTGGCACCTATTTATCCACTTGCATGTATATAGGCATTTAGCTCCCATTATTTTGATTGAACTTTTTCTACTTTTCCTATTTCTGGTGAATTTCATTATATCAAAAGTTTACATTTTGTTTTTCTGACTTATTACCACCAAGGTCCATAACATTGTTTGCTTCAAAAGCAGCTAGAAAATAGTAGAAAACAATAGGAGGGATTTTTCTGCCAATTACTTAATTTTACTATTTCATTTTTTCATACAAAAATAAAATAAATAGAAGTGACATTTTATGAATATGTTACCTTTACAGGATACAAAGCTTATGTTTGATTCTGAGTGACAATCACATAGCTGCAAGAAATACAAAATCTATTTATATTCATGAAAGCAAGCTCTGACTGAATCTTAAGTATATGACTACAATACATTTGCATACACCCAAGGCTAACCATATATTTTGTGCAAATGTTTGTTACTAAGGCCTAATAATGAACTGAGTCTAGTCTTATTGATGCTTAAAGTAGATTTACTAAAAACAAGTAGATATATTTTAGTCATAATTAAGTTCTGATTATTTCAGTGGTTCTTTTACTACTCTTAGCAATAGACTTATATACTACTCCATAATGCTTTATTGCACTTCTGAGCAATTTTACAAATGTTAGCATATTGCCCCCAACAATCTGGGTTCTCATTTTACCAACCTCGGAAGGATGGAAGGCTGAGTCAACCTTGAGCAAGTAAGAATTGAACTGCAAGCACTGGGCAGAGTTAGTCTGCCATTTTCATTCTAACCATTGTACCACCATGCCTCCTTAGCCTGCTTAAATTTGACAAATTTATTTTTAGATGAAAAGCAGCCTTAAAAGAAATAGTTTAAAAGTAGGGAAGTAACATAGGAAACAGTTCCCAATTCTTTTGCCTGTCTGCTGTTTTCCTAATTATATCACATCATGGGATCCAAAAATTAACTCGGGCACATTTTAAAACTTGAGAAAGGAAACACAAGCAAAAAGCAAATTACCATGGGTAAATAACAAGTAGAGAAAAGATAAGTGTGCTTCTCTCCTTATCCCAATAGTTAATTTAACTCTCTTACTCCCAGCACTTTAAAAAGAGAGAGTATTTGGTTGTAATGTAACTTTAGTTTCTCAACTTAATCAAAAAAACTAATTAAAATCAAATAGTATTGAATTTATTTGGACTAATGCTGTGAGTCCTTGGTCAGATTCTAAGAGTTTATCATGCTCTGCAGAGGCTAGGTATTATGACTGGCCAAACACCCAGAGATAGCAAAGGCTGGATGATGTATCTACAGATATTTAAAACATTTATATTTTTCATATTTTCTTACCAGACCTATGTCAACCTTCTCTTCTGGTACCAGTTCTTCTGTGCTTTCTCTGGGGCTTCTATGATAGACTACTGGCAAATGATATTTTTCAACTTGTTTTTTACATCTGTACCACCATTAATTTCTGGAGTTCTGGATAAAGACATTTCTGCAGAAACCCTATTGAACATTCCTGCACTTTACAAAAGTGGACAAAATTCAGAGGTAAAACTTTTTCAAGAATATCCCATAATATAACAGGTTTCACGGTGTAGCAAAATAAATATCCTTTCTAAAATAGATGTTGGTTGGATTCATACGCTGCATAAATTCATGATTTGTTGAATGTTGTCAATTTTCAGTTTAGCAATTCCCTCATTAAACAACTGTATTCCATTGCACCTTTTAAAAATATTTTTCCCATGAATGGATGAAAAAAATAGGTTGAAGACAACAATTTTTTATAGAGGAGTGTTCAGTGTTTTCTTGTATCATTTTTCATCAATCCAAGCTATTGTATGAAGTCTTATCTATCACTAAGAGAAGAAATGCAACTCATTCCATTTTTAAATACATTGATTCTCATTTTATCAAAAATCTCCAAAGCATAAAATAAGCACAGGTACAAATTGATACAATAAGTGCAATAAAATGTGTCAACAAGTTAAGGTGCTAGTTTAACAATTTAGTTATGACTAAATTAGAGAAATCCAGGAAACAAGTGGGAAAATCTGTGTCTTTTAACTGATAGCAAAAAAAAACTCCAAACCAAGAACCCCACATACATTCACAGAGAAGATTATCCCACACTAAAAAAGCCATAATCCTTCATGAAGAATGTCAGCAAACTATAGTATGGTCTTGAGGATATTCTTCCCTGGATCTAAAAATGATTGTTCATATAACTTGGCTTTATGCTTGTCAATCAAAATAAAATTTGGAAAGTAGCTTGGTAACTAAACAGCAGATAATACAGACTCTATTATATTAAAATTAACTGAAAAGGACCCTAGTAACCTAGTTCCTCATTCTAGTCTAAGTGTGGTTTATAAATCACCCTTAAGGGCAGAGACATGTTACAAAAGTCCAGTCTCCAGATAAAATATATTACAATATTCCAGTGCTTGACTTATCTCTACCTTGAAAAAGTTACATGTATCATAGTAATCAAAACTGTAATAGTAGGTCCAAACTAGACCCAGAGAGATCCAACTTGAAGTCATCCATTAGCCATAGAAACTCATTAGGTAATTCTGGGGCCATCTTACCTTATCAGTTCAGTCAGTATTATAAGGTGGCTGATGTGGAGATAAATGGCAGGGAGATCTCCATGGAAGTTCCTTGAGTTCTGTGGAAAAGGTATACCACAATGTAATCAAAAATAATTACATTGGGAATCAATATTCTTGCTCAGAGAGGCTTCTTTGGACGTCTTATGATAGAGACATCCTTCAATAACCCAAGCTCCATGCCTTCTTCTTCCATGTAACTCCCCAGTGCTGTTCTGTTTGGATAAAGATATAAGAATAAACAGAATTATCAGTAACAATTTAAAGTAAAACAATTTAAGTGTTCAGGCATACCACATCTCCTCTAGTTTTGGTTGTGAAGGCAATGACAGAGAATGAAACTGATGCATCCTGTCATTTACCACTGATTGGTGGCTTCCCCAGTGGCCATCAAGTTATAAGTTATATACCAAGAAAATGTACATGTTCTGAAATTCTCTATTCCTTCTGTGTCCAATTTGCTACAGATTTACAAACCTCTAACATTTTTCCTTGCTATCTTGGATGCCTTCTACCAGAGTCTCATTTGCTTCTTCATCCCTTATCTAGTAAGTGTTCAAATTTCAAAGTATCCAAATTTCTCTAAACCAGCCTTTCCCAGCCTGTTACTCTTCAGCTCATATTTGAAGCATATCAGACTTGAGAAGGCTGATTCATAAAACTCAGAATTTCTGTTTTGTATTTTGATATGTCAATATTCTTTTATCTAATTTACCAGGTATATCAGGATTCTGATACTGATGTTTTCGCTTTTGGAACAGTAGTCAACACTGGTGCCCTTCTTACTATTCTTTTTCACCAAGCTTTAGAAATTCAGATGTGGGTATGTATATAGTTTCAATAATTATCCCAGTTTACTTGCTTGCTGATTGGTTGATTGATTGATGAATGGAAACAATGACCTAGCTGTTAAGGTGACAGTCGTGCACTTTTTGATACTATATTCAGGTGTCTGGCTATGAATCCCTCCCACCTTGGATTACAAAGGATTTATTGAGTGATGAAAAGGAACTGAAATGCCAACATTTTCAGATAGTGTAATGCACAAGTTCAGAAATAGTATAACTGTGAGAGGGATTTTGGAGTCCTAGTGGACAATCATTTAAATATCAGCCAACAGTATGCAGCAGCCAACAGTGGGCAGCAGTGGGCAAAAATCAATGCAATCATAGTCTATATTAATAGAGGGATAGAATCAAGATCACATGAAGTTCTAGTACCGCTTTCTAAAGGCTTAGTAAGAATACTGCATCCAGATCTGGTCACCATAATATAATAAAGATGTTGAGACTCTGGAAAGATTGCAGAGAAGAGCAACAAAGATGGTTAGGTGGCTGGAGGCTAAAACACATAAAGAACAGTTACAGGAATTGGATATGTTTAGTCTAATGAGTAGAAGCACTAGAGAAGACCCCAGCAGTGTTATAATATTTGAAGGGCTCCTACAAAGATGAGGGGGTCAAACTATTTTCCAAAATACCAAAAGGCTTCAAGGCAAGAAACAATAGATGGAAATTAACCAAGAAGAGAAGCAACCTAAAACTGAAGATAAATTTCCTAAAGGTGAGAGCAATCAATCAATGGAATAGCTTGCATTCAGAAGTTGTGGGTACTCCATCACTGGAGGCTTTCAAGAGATTGAACAACCATTCATCTGAAATGGTATATGGTTTCCTGCTCAAGGAGGGGGTTGTCCCTTCCAACTCTATTCTTACATTCTATGTTGCAAATTAAATAATACTAGGCAATTACAGCTATTTAATTTCACACTTTTTCAACATTTCTCTGCATAAAAGTATCATTTCCCTCATTCCTATCAGAAATATTTATGTATTTCAGTAAAACTTTGCATAATTATAAATATTATTGCTCATTGCAGTTAGACAAGATTGCAGATAATTTTTTTGCTGAAAATGGAAGAAAGTTAAAGTTCTAGTCCTGTCTTAGGCACAAAGCCAGCTGAATGATCTTGAGCCTCTCAGCCTTAGCAAAGCCACTTCTAAAAATTCTTTCCAAGTAAACCGCAGAAACTAAACCAGAAACACTGACTCAAAAGTACAGACATACAAAAATGCAATAAATGGACAATATGGCTTGGAAACCAGTTGTCGTAGTCCTGACAGCCAGCCGATTCTCACAATAAATCAATGACTGGGGTCCTGGGTCCCTGCCTCTTCAATCGCTCTCCGACATCTGGGGTGCGTGGAGAGAAATTCAGGCAGCTATGTCAGAGATTGGGAGATCAGGAAGAGAAACAGACTTGACCTCCAGCCAGAAGCAAATAGAAGCTGATAGCATAATTAAGGCTGGAGAACAACCCTCCTTGAATTCCAAAGCAAAGACACCAGTTCCTGGGGAAGAAAGAAACCCAGAAAAGTACTGGTGGGAAAAGAAAGTTCCAAAATCTTCTGAGGCTGAGTTTCCCCATTCCCAGGCCGCAAAAGGGAGAAAGCCCTTGAGTGAACTGGGAAGAGTGCATTGGATGTGGGACTGGGCCCAGGCCAGGGCCCCAAAGTCCCTGATGGAATCCCCGGGGAGACCCATGGAGCAACCGGAAAATGCCAACATGTCAACTCCTAATAAATCAATCTTTTTTACTCTGAGAGATGTGGCTAGAGACTTATGATTTGAATGGGGGTGCATGTTGGAGTCTTGATACCAGTATCTGCACAAACTAAAAAGCATGACTTCTCAAATGCAACAGAAAAGATACTGCTCTTTCCCACCAGGCCCACACTTGTCTTAGAAAGACCTGACAAAAACCATCAGAGTTAATTTCAATCTTTGACATCCCTCCATGCAGATTCCTCATTGCTGTAATTTTTACATTCAGACACCTTTTGTCTCCATAGAAATTGCACTGCCTCGGAATAAGATTGTTACTATGGCATTTCCTCTTTACATTCTCCTGATGTTCTGCACCATCACATTCCTAGACAGGAATCACAGCTAAAAGGTTTATTGCTCTAATTGCTTTTCTTCTCGTCTGTTCACAGACCCGGTTCCATGGAATTGCAATAACTGGGAGCATTTTGCTCTACTTTATTTTCTCATCCATCTACAATGCAACCTGTGTCCTTTGTAACCATCCCACAAATCCCTACTGGATTATGGAGATGGAATTTTCGGAGCCAAACTTTTATTTCACAATCATTATTATGCCAGTGGCAGCACTTCTCCCAAGGTTTGACCAATGGTTTTTTTTCTTACTTGTTCTTGTATGAAGTGCCACTCAATAACTAGATTACCAGATGGAAGATTACAAAATTTGATTAAATGTTGTCCCAGGAAACAGAAAACCTTATCTCTTATTGTATTATTTAAGCAAGGCCTTAATTGGATGTTGTAAGTAAGGCATCCGGTACCATGTAAAGTCTGATTTCCAGAGAAAGGTCCCAGCAGACGTAACCTTATTAGTCTGGGTTTGTCCCCACTCTCCACAAAATCTGCCAGCCAAGAGCCAGTTCCTTGGTATAGCTGTCATTTTATGGAAGGGAAGCTTAAAAACCCTTGACAGTCCACATGCTTTAATGCAGTATAACTTTCTCTGTACAGTTTGGGGGAATTGAGTTGACATGCCTTGCTAGAACATAAAGGCTTTGTTATGTTGTGTGATGGGTTCCTTTTTTCTCTCTCTCTTTTGAGAGGCAATTCTTGAGTGCTTCAAATAATAAAAATATGTTTCCATGTTAAGCTAGTGCCACAGCTCAGACTTCTCCGGATCCTTCGAAATAGCACAAAGATCGACCCTCTTAACAGCCAAGGTCTAAGGGTTATGAAAATAATTCCCCCTGGAAGCCTTATTTTTCATGAGTCCCACTTTAATCTCTTACTACAAAACACACATTGATTTGGGGGAAGAACATTTTAGCTTGTTTCCATAGCATTGCATTCCTATGAATTTTCTGTAAAATGGTAAGTTTTTTGCTTATTGTAAAATTGATATTCAGACTGAGGTGCCACAGGAGTAGCTGCAATAACAGAAAGAAGCTTGAATGAATGCATCCAAGTGTAATTATAAATGTTGGTTTTTAGTATTAACATGAGCAAGTCTAAATAAACTTCAGAGTTGTTCACTTTTTTCTTCTTCTTTCCTGATATAACTGTAAGAAGTTTCCTCTTCTTTTCATAACAAATCACTGATATCCAAATCCAGACAAAAGTATAGGTAATAATATGCATGGTGTCTGAAACAAGCCAACTTCAAAATGTAGTTTATGAAGCTGCCATATTTCAAAAAACAGAATAGGCCGCATGTATATATGACTCTCCGAGACATTTGGGGCGACTGACAATTTCTTATCTTCCTATTGCTGCTGATTTACTGCTATTCTGTTCACTGTACTTGCAGCAACATTTCCCATGAGTCCCTGCATTTGTTGCCTTCCAGTTGTTACCACTCGTGTTGTTTATAGAATGTAGGGTGCCATTACAGCTTCTTCTGCAGAACCAGGAGGAACCTTCTGCACATTTTTGTCTTTGGAATCAGTTGCATTTGGTTTGCTATCTTGCAGGGAGAAATGGGGACCAAAAAAAAAACCCCCTCAGAAGTCACAGATCTCTTGAGTTGAGCCACAAAAAGAAGTGAGGATGGGCTAATCAAGGGCAGAAAGGACAGAAGAGTGATGGAGGACTTGGTAGAAGCTGTAACAGTTTAACATACCCTTCCCTGCAATCTCAACCACACTAAAATAGCTGGAAAGGGAAAACCATGATTTCTGTTTATATCAGACAGCTATAGAGAAATACACTTATCATGAGTGGCAGACTGGCACTACTAAACCATTTTTTCCTGAAACATAGCAGCTTCCCTAACACTGTTGAATGGCAGTTTGTTGCTATCTATAATCACCTAACAAAACCCTAGCCCAAGAACAGGCAAACTGATATACTCTACATTCTGGATTGTATTCCCAAATTATCTTGGTATGTCTGAACTGATGTGAGTTATGCCTTATTTGTTTGGATAATACCAAGTTACCTATGCATCTTTAGCCATGGCACCACCTTAGCAGGTAGATGGAAACTACCTTTGTGACACATCTTTTATGACACTAACTTTTGTAAAATTATGAGTTTCTTCATTCTAGCTTTTGTTCCCTTTCTGTATCTTTGTGTGTACTTTGCAAAAAGTGTTTTTGGAATCCATACTGTATGTGTAGAATTTGGGAACTGTTCTCTGTAGCAAGTGGAACTTTCATATGAATGACTAACTAAAAACATAATGCACACTATATTTCATCTACCATCTCCAAAATGAGTGAGAGTGATAGCTTGTTATTGCAAAAATAACTGTGTTTTTCTTTGCTTTCCTTAGATATCTTATATTGGCTCTGCAAGGGACTTTCAACATATCTTGCATCCTGAAAGCACAACAACTGGAGAAGTTGCCGAAAGAACAACAGGACTGGGAAATACAGAAATGGAAGCTGATAAAAGAAGGCCCGGCAATCCGCAGTAATGGTCCTAGTCAACTCAGTGGAAATATTTGTGATCACGCAGCACTTGGGCTTCCTGAGACCAATGTTCCTCAGGGCCTCGGGCCTTTGCAGAAAGAAATGCTTGAAGAAAGGACTTTGAATGAGGAAGCCAAGGACAATGCCAAAAAATGCACCCAAGAAGAGACTGGACAACTTACAGCTGTGGAGCCATTTGCTGACCAAATCCCCCAGAACCCTGAAAGTTCTGCTCAGAGAAGCCATCAGAGGTCTGTGAGTGCAGTGACTTTATGAAGGAAGCACAACTTTCAAGGGGAAAAGTAAAAATTGACTGCTTTCCCAGCCTCACTCTCCACAAATAAAGGCAATGGAAGGAAAAATAGAATTCCCTTTTTTTTGTTACATAGCAGCAATGTCCAGATGGCAGACCTAAAATAAAATTTCATCAGTATATTGAGAAACTGTGTTTTGTCTGTATAGTACAAGACACCTTGGATGCATATGGCCATATATTTCTTGTGGGGGGGAAGGGTTCAAATAGCTTGGAGGACAATTACACAAGATTTCCTTTGTGGGGACTTAAAAATAGACAATATTTGTGGGGAAGGGCTGGTTTTTTTACCAATGAAATTTCAGAATCAGGCCACATTTCTGTCTTGTTGATGAACGGGAGTTATATAGCTTCAAAACTGCAACATCTTAGAGTAAAATGATCATGTTTAAAGATATAAAGAAATAAGCCATTTATCTAGATATTTTAAGTGGGAATCCAAAACTGTTTTGAGGTGTTTTTTTAAAGAAATCTGAAATATACTGTATGTACATATACATACATATAATATATAATATATGTTGCATATATGTATAGGTAAGACTGCACATGCCAAGTTGTTCTTTATTGGTCAGATAGTTGCTTAGTTCTTTTAGGTACCTAGCAACCTAGTGACCTAAGTCCATATTTGGAAGTAATGTTTGTTGATAATTCTGAGGCATAATCATCCAAGATATATATTTTAAGAGCTTTACCTCTACTTTGAATGGGATGTCGAGGAAGGAAGGTGGACCATTGATCAGGGGTCTAGAAAGCAAAAAGAACTCCTATAAAGAGAGTATGAAGGAATCAAGAAAAGATAAATCCTATGAAGAGAGACTGAAGGAAAGAACCAAACTTGTTCAGTCTTGAGAAGACTGAAAGGGGCATAATAGCACTGTTCGAACAGCTAAAAGAATGTTACACCAAAGGAAGTCCAGATCTGTTCTCATATCACCCTGGAATTATGAATTTAAACTGTGAGAAGGAAATTTTGGTTGAATGTTACAGGAAAAAGGAATTCCTAACAGCAAGAGCATTTCAATGGAGGGAAGGGAGGAGGGGGAGGAGATACATCTTTTCTCTAAACATGTCAAAGCAGGGCATGCTTTCATTTCCCACACTGAATAAAGGTTAGGTTATGTATTCCAAATAACCCTATTGTCTAGATTCATAAGAATGACAGCTGACTTCTCGGACTGGGAATACTCATACTGTCATCTCAAGCAGAATCAATACCAGATGTATGACTTCTGTCACATAAAGAAAAAGCATGTGTCCCAGCCTCTTCTTAAGAAAAGGCCTGTGAGTTGTTTTTTTTAAATAGGAAAATGGAAAAAGCTGTTGCAAGAGTTCTGATAAAAGGTTGAAATTCCCATGCTGGAGAAGGTCCAGATGAAAACAGAGCACTTTGTTTTGGGATTCTGAATACCCCTAAGCAAAAAAGAAAACTTTTAAGCAAAAGCTGTATTAATTGCTAATTTATTCTGTCTGTGTTTGTCTAAGTTGAATATTATTTATATCTCTGCCCAAGTTCACAAATTTGGTTTGTTAAGATCATATTTTTTTCCCCTTATGAGAAATTATCTGAGCTTGGTTAAAAACTCGGAGCCTGGTGAGTTTAAAATGTAGTAGTACCATTGTTATAATTCCCTTTTAAAGTTGTTGGTGTCCAATGATTTGAGAAGCTCTGACTTTACCTCTTTCAAAATGTTAACATTTTAATATCTAATATTTAATAAGAAATTATAGTTAGTATCATATTTTAAAATAAACTTTGATTTTTGTTTATATCTAGCATGTCTCCTAGGAAAGAGCTGCAACATCTTTCATATACAATCTTTCGTATTGTGTAACCAGTAGGCAACATTATGGCAGTTATTTGGCTTTTTATTTGCCAGAAAGGCTACAAAATATGGGATTGGGAATCCTTTTTTTCCTCCAGCCGGGAAAAAGGCATTGGAAATAAAATGGAGGCTGGAGGATGATTGGAAAGAAAGATTCCATTTATTGATGAAGCAAAACCACCAACCACATGGGATTCGAGGACAGCTGCTCAAAATGGAGTTGAGAGTGGGTGGGTTTTTATACCTTCTTTTGGGCTTTGTATTTGAGCTTCCTGTTCCTCTGCAAGAACATGTCCTTTAATATTCTTGGCTGTTGTCAGATTCCTATGGGGTCATGGCTGGCTCTATAGGCAAAATGAAAAGTTCAAATCCTAGGTGCTTGTTTCAACTAATTTTGTCAACCTTTTGTTTGTTGCTTATCTGAGTTTCTTGGCCCAGTCTTTCTGAATGGACTACCAAATCTGCATTTCTAAAAACTGACCTCCTCAGTTTCTGCTTGGGGCAGGGAGATTGGTGCTGGTTTCTGCCTCCCTTAAGATTTTTTAGAGGAAATAGTCTATCCTGCTTTTTTAAATATTTCTCAAAATATTTCATTTTTCTGGGATGGGAGAGCTCCTGGAGCAACCACGACTGTTGATCATTAAAATCAAGCCAAAACGTTCCCTTCTTTTCCCATTTTGCCTTTACATCACTATCATTTTGCCATCTGAAGGGTTCCTTTTTAGCCCAGGTTTTTTTCAAACCAGAAACAATAGTTGCTCAGTGTGCATTACACATGCACCCCTTTCCAAAAGTAGTTTCCAATTCCATAGCAAAGGTACCTTTTACAAAAAGTGCTGCTTAAAGGTGTTTATCACTTCCCTAACAAGTGTTAAAACAATAAACCAGTCGATTCAGACTAATAGCCAGGTGTAATCTAAGCATTTGGGGGCTCATAAATATTGATTTGTAGATCCAAGTATCATGGCGGCCAGCTGCTATGCCTACAGCAACAGAAACATTGTAAATATTTATGTCTTGGCTTGTCCTTTCTGAAACTCTGGATAAAGAGCAACTAGAATAACTTTTTTTAAAATCCATTGCAAACGTTCTGTTTTCTATTGATCTGGAAATATGGTGATGGATGGCAAAAAGAGAGCCATTCATGCTCTAGAGGAAGTTTTATTTTTTTCTTTCAAAAGGAGCAGTCCCACAGGGCTGATGTGTCATAGGCTGATGGATGGAGCTAGAGCAAGCCAAGGGTGATGATAGAAATAAAAAAGGTGGGACACTCACTGTCTCTCTCTGAAGCCCCCCATCTTGGGCTTTTTTCCCACTTGTTTCATAAAACTGATGAAGCAGCCTGCAGTGAAGGAATAGATTGCTCTTATTAGTGGCTTCAACTGATCTCTTCCAGGATGTGAGTAGAAAAGAGGTGAGGTGCATAAAATAATTTCAAAGAACACATTTGCTACTACAGTTACCACAGAATTTATTATTATTATGGTTCATTGTACCATAAGCCAGATTGTTAGAACTGCCACCTCATGCCTGGGCTTTGATATAACTCGATGCCAGTCTTCCATGAACTCTGGGTGAGGGAGTTGGACGGGAGAAGGGAAGGTTCACTACTTACCATACCTTCTAGAGACACAATTTCAAGGTCAGATGACTGGGAATGGCATGCAGCTGCATACTGGCCAGCCCACAGTTGAAGAAATCATTCCCAAAACACCACATTCGAATATGGACAATGGACCAGCAGTGGGAAGCGCCTAGTGGGCGGGTGTTCACTTGGGGATTTTGGAATTCAAATTTCAGTTCTAGCTTTATTCTACTATACCTTTCTCACTAAATGGAGTCAAGCATCATTCTTACTTAAAGGTTCAAGTTGACATAGATGTTTAGACTGGCATTGGCATTTTTATCTACCTATCAAGTCCTTCCCAAGAACCTGGGATATAAGAAGTAGTCCTTGATGTATGATTACAATTGAACCCAAAATTTCTGTTGTTAAGCAAGACAAGTAAGTTAAGTGAGTTTTGCTCCATTTTACAACCTTTCTTGCCACAGTTGTTAAGTGAATCACTGCAATTGTTCAGTTAGTAATACAGTTGTTAAGAGAGCACCAAAAGCTCCACAGTTCAACCCTGAGCCACATACTGTATATTATCTTCCATTTTCAGTATCTCTTTGCTTTTATCTTTGCTGCTCATCTGGATATCATAATCCAGATATGGCAACCTTAGTGGTGTAGCAGCTCTCTCACTTGCTTCCCCTTCCTTCAGTGCTACTCCCGTACAAGGGGCTCATGGAACCAGGTTTGTGTGCTTGCTTGTTTGAAAAACTGGAGGCCTGCTATAAAGAGAAATTAAGGGGGAACCCAAGGACCCTTGTTTCCACAGCTCCAAAGAAACTATTTTTGCCTTCAATATTTGTATGACCCTCTATTCCCATTACTATACTGTACTATCATTTTTAGTACCAATAGAGAAAGGGCTAATGATGTAATTAATGCTTAACAATATTCTTTTGTACAAGGACTTAAGGCACGCTAGACCTTTCCTGGACAAAGTATTCAGGGATTCAGTATTGCCCAAATGCTGAGTTTTTTACCCATCTAGAGTGAGTATGTAATGCCAGACTCACTGCTCAGAAGATTTGTCTGGGGTAATGGTTAAATAACTTATGTGAAAGAACGCCATTCAGGTTTCTATTAGCAATACCCCATATTTCTCACTGTTGTCTTCTGTATTTAGAAGCTGGCATCCATAACTAAAACTACTAACTCAAAATGTATCACAAAACCAACTCTGAGTATACCCTAATGGAGACTAATAACCAATTGCTGACACCATAGTGAAGTTTTGTGAGACATATTCAATCTTCTGACGATCTTTCCACTCCTTTGGCCAATATCATATCACCCAAGGCCCCAAAGACATACATACATGCTACTTAGCATTCAGAGTAGAAAATCTTTCTATCCTCCTCATATTAACTGTTTCTTTCTTCTTGCCAATAAATACAAGTCATCTAGTAAAGAATGAATTTGCTCTTAGAGTTTCTTTTCAAAAATCTACTCTGGAATTGTTACTGCCTAAGTCCGTTCACAAAAGTTTTCTTTAGATAGCCAATCCCAAGATGCCATCATGCCA